ATAGCCTAGAAAGATAGAAAGCATATGATGTTTTGACACAACCCCATAGGTGAAGTAGGGGATAGCCAAACCAAACAGTGGTCACAAGACCAGTAATGAGAAATAAACAAAGCAAAGCCCAGGGTGGATCTCAAGATCACCACGCAGTCTGAGCACACGCAAGCGGCCACAAGGCCAGTTCACATGTAGAGTTATAAAAACACAAGCAATACAGTGATCACAACCTAGCAAGAGCAAGCATGAAGGTATACATATAGAGACCACAGTACAAGGCAAGTCAAGCAACCAGCAGGTGAGGTAGAACGGGCAGAAGTCCAAGAGCAGTGCAAAAACGCTGATGACCACCAGACCCAAGGGCCTTGGTGAAGACATCAGCAGTGTTGGCCCGAGAGGCCACGTAGGAAAGGCGAAGCTGACCCCGCTGCTGCAGCTCTCGAGCAAGAAAGTAGCGAAGAGCAATGTGCTTCGTTCTGTCCTCCACTCTCTGCTCGTGACACAAGGCAAGCATGGCCTTTTTGTCGACGTACAGAGCTGGAGGAGAACGAGGCCGCTCTCCCAAGTTGGTCAATAGGTAGGTCAGCCAGCGTAGCTCCTGTGTAGCCACAGCCCCAGCGTAGATCTCGGCCTCACAGCTAGAACGAAGCACAGAAGAAAAACGAGTGGACCTCCACGAGACAGAACCAGAGCCAAGACTGAAGGTGTAACCATGTGACGAACGCTGAGTCGCCTGGTCGTCGGCCCAAGAAGCGTCGGAGTGTCCTATGAGTACCACTGAACCCCATCCTCCAAGCACGATCCCCATGCCCGATGTACTGCACAAGTAACGCAGTACCCTCTTCGCAGCATCCCGGTGCACCTTTCGGTGTCTACTGGGAGCCACGTAGCGAGCCAGGAGGCTGAGAGGGTACGCGAGGCCAGGTCGTGTGCACGTCATCAAGTACATGAGGCAACCCACAAGCTCTGGATACGGACCACTTGGCTGTACGGACTCGTCCGAAGGTGGAGCTGACAGCGAGTGGCCAGTAGGCAGAGGAGTGGGCTGTGGCGAGGATTACTGGAAGCCGAAGCGCTGAAGGACCTGGTGCACCATGTGTGGCTGAGTCAGGGTGATGGTGCGCCGTGCTCTGTCCCGGGTGATATGCAAGCCAAGATAGCTCCGCAGCTCACCCAGGTCACAGCAGGTGTGTCTCTCCTGCAGCTCCGCCTTCACTAGGGCCAGCGCCTCAGTGTCAGCAGTAGCAAAAACCAAGTCGTCAACATACACGAGAATGTAGAACGGTGGCAGGGTAGTGTCAGTGCGTAGAAACAGCGACGGGTCATCAAAGGAAGGAGCAAACCCAAGAGCCGCAAGTGTGGTCCTCAGTGTGTCGTGCCAATCGCGGGGCGCCTGGCGGAGACCGTAGATTGGCCGCCAGAGGCTCCAGTTGGTACCCGCAGGAAATGACCCAGTGAAGCAAAGTGGGTAGCACAGCCAGATCTCCTCGTGAAGGCTGCCCTGCAAGAAAGCTGTGGAGAAGTGGAGGGAGTGCAGCTCGTAGTCACACTGTGCTGCAACGTGCAGTAACACCCGAAGAGTAGTCATCTTCGGTGTGGGGGAGAAGGTCTGGAAGAAGTCGACCCCCTGTCGCTGACTGAAGCCTCGAGCAACGTAACGCGCCTTGAAGGCAGGTGGAGAACCCGACGGCCGTTTCACTCTGAAAATCCATAGGGATAAAGGTATCAACCCATACATCCTGAACGACTGCGTTGCTCACCAAGTTCGTCGAGAACGAGGGGAGGTGGAGACCTGAAAGAGAGTCGGAGGGGACTGCCAGACACTGGAGGACAGTGGAGGCTCGCAGTACTACTGGGCCCCCAGTAGGGTCAGCCAGTGAGACTAGGACAGGTGCTGCGAGCGGTGTGACTGTGGTGCAATCACGAAAGAAGCAACGTGACGCGCCTGAGTCAATTATGAAAGTGTGCAAGGCCTCAGCTGAGGCAGGACCAGTGGCGGTAGACGCACTAGCGCCTAGAGCTGCAGCAGACTCACTAGCACCTAGAGCGGCAGCAGACTCACTAGCACCTAGAGCAGCAGCCTCTACACAACCAAGGATGCCTCGCTGAGAAACACAGTCGCGAAGCCGCTGTGGGGAGAAGGTCTCCTGCTGACGCTGCTACCACCGTTGTCCATTGCCCATAAAACCATATCCTCCACCACCTGGACGGCCTCGCTGAACGATCCACTCACGAATCTGCTGTGGCGAGAGAGTGTCTGGGTGCGCGGGTTGCCGCTGCTGTCCAACACCTCCAACACGATAACCTCCACCACCAGGACGGCCTCGCTGAATAACCCACTCGCGAAGCTGCTGCGGTGATAGAGTGTCCGGTTGAGGCAGTGGCTGCTGTTGTCCACCCCTGGACGCTACTACGACCGTGACAGTGGCCATGACAGGCAGTGGCAGTCAGTAGCAACGGCGCAAGGGCGGTAGTAGCGACTGCTGTAGCTGCAGCTGTAGCAGTAGCGGTGGTCGCTGTGGCTGTAACAGCATGAGCGACTGTTGGAGTGGCTGTGGAGGCCAGTAGGGTGCGTGGGCAGCAGGGCACGGGCTAGCGCAGTAACAACAGCAGTGGCAGCAGTAGCAGCAGCAGCGCCAGCAGCTGCAGTAAGGGCGGCTCGGCAGGGCAGCAGTAGTGCAGGCGGCAGCAGTAGCTCAGGTGGCAGCAGCACCCTAACAGCAGCAGCAGCTGAGCAGTAGCAGCAGCGCTTGCAGCAGCAGTAGCTGCGTAGGTGGGAGCAGCAGCCGCGCGCACGGGCAGGGCGCAGGCAGGGTGCGCGCATGGTGCGCGTGGTGTGCGCGCGGGCAGGGTGCAGGCAGCTGGCGGGCAGTGCGAGCGGCGCGCTGGGCAGCAGGTGCGCGGGCTGCAGGGCAGGGCGGCGCACGGGCCTAAGGGCAGGGCAGCGCGGCTCGCGGGCTGCAGGGCAGGGCGGCGCGCAGGCCTAAGGGCAGGGCAATGAGGCTCGCGGGCTGCAGAGCAGAGCAGCGCGGCTCTAAGGACAGGGCGGCGCGCGGGCCTAAGGGCAGGGCAGCAAAGCGCGCGGGCTGCTGGGCAGGGCAGCATGGCTCGCGGGCTGCAGGGCAGGGCAGCGCGGCTCAGGCGGCAGCAGCAGCCTAGCAGCAGCAACAGCTGAGCAGAAGCAGCAACGCAGCCGGAGGTCCGGAGTGCGGGTTACCAACCGAACCGTGAGGTTGGGTCATGTCGTGAACAGTGGCGGGAACAGTGGTCGAGGCGAGTGTAACGGTGCGCTCTTGGCGGGAAAAGTGTTGTACGCGCTGAGCATGGACGAAAGGAAAGGAATTTTCCTTACACTGCCATTCTTGTCCGCTTCGTGAGTTCCCCTAAAACTAGCAATTGTCTGGGGATGAAAGAAACAAGCGGATGGGGATGCACCGCATGTCGACTGTGCCCCGCCCCACACGGCACGGCACGGCACGGCAGGGCACACACAATACTATAATGTCGGACCAACACAGCCGTTGTTGCCAGTCCACGGGTTTCCCGCAATGCAGGCAGGCAATCGGAACGCGATTTGCGTAGACGATTATGGGTTTCGTTGCGTCGCAGAGATTATGGGCTCGGTATTACTCTCAAGAGCCCCTCAATAAGGGCGTGCGGATAGCCGGAAACAGTTCTTGCCGCGCCGTTGGCGGGCGAGATTTCGAGTTGCGAGCTGCGCTTCCGTCGCAACCACTAGTCACACGGGGAGTATCGAAAACGGCCCGTACAGAATACGCGCGCTCCAAGGCGCTTCACCTCGCTGCTAGAGCGCGCCTTAGTGCTGATAGTCAGCGAGGCGCTTTAATGCATATATATGTAGTAGCGGGCCTCACCGGGAACACGCACTCACCTCGTTGACTATCACTGATCGCATTTATGTGGCTCTGACGCGCACTAGCCACCCTGACTGACGGATTCTCGTCCCACTCCAGATCGCCCCGGGCTACTACCACCCCTCGTCGCTACTTGCCGAGCCTCTCTCGTCACCACCACGAGCACCACCACCACCAGCAGCATGGGAGGTTTCAAGGCCGCTGCCGCGCTGCTCGTTGTCGCCATCCTCATTGGTACGCGATTCCCCGCCCTCGCCGCTTCCCCTCTCCCTCGCTCCCCCCCTCCCTCGCCGCCTCCCCTCTCCCTCGCTCCCCCCCTCCCTCGCCGCCTCCCCTCTCCCTCGCTCCCCCCCCTCCCTCGTCGCCTCCCCTCTCCCTCGCTCCCCCCCTCCCTCGCCGTCTCCCCTCTCCCTCGCTCCCCCCCTCCCTCGCCGCCTCCCCTCTCCCTCGCTCCCCCCCCGCCCTCGCCGCTTCCCCTCTCCCTCGCTCCCCCCCTCCCTCGCCGCCTCCCCTCTCCCTCGCTCCCCCCCTCCCTCGCCGCCTCCCCTCTCCCTCGCTCCCCCCCCTCCCTCGTCGCCTCCCCTCTCCCTCGCTCCCCCCCTCCCTCGCCGTCTCCCCTCTCCCTCGCTCCCCCCCTCCCTCGCCGCCTCCCCTCTCCCTCGCTCCCCCCCCTCCCTCGCCGCCTCCCCTCTCCCTCGCTCCCCCCCCTCCCTCGTCGCCTCCCCTCTCCCTCGCTCCCCCCCTCCCTCGCCGCCTCCCCTCTCCCTCGCTCCCCCCCTCCCTCGCCGCCTCCCCTCTCCCTCGCTCCCCCCCCTCCCTTGTCGCCTCCCCTCTCCCTCGCTCCCCCCCTCCCTCGCCGTCTCCCCTCTCCCTCGCTCCCCCGCTCCCTCGCCGCCTCCCCTCTCCCTCGCGATATCCATGAAAAGTGAATGCTCGTGAGAAGCTTCCTGAATGCTCAAGTAGATCCCAGCTCCGACCACGTTCGACAAATCGTCACATTCGCGCGCCCCCCTTCCCTGTCGAGCCTCCTCGCAGCGAATGAGTTAAAAATGTCCTTCCTTCTGCCCTTCCTTGCGTGACGTCCTGCCTTCCTTGGCATTCCCCCTTCCCCTCTGTGTGACCTCCTCGCAGCAAGTGAGGTGGGAGTGTCGCTGGGAGCACCTGCTGCCAAAGGGACGACTGCTGGCGGCGGCATCGACTCTGCTGGTATCACGAGGGGTGTGAGCGAGGCGACTACCATTGGTAGACGACTTTTGAGGCGCCTCACCGGCGGTAGGGGCCGGAGCGCGACGGGGGTGCCGGTTTATGCGGAGCGGCGCGGCAGCGACTCCACTGGTGCTACTACGGGCGCGAGCAAGATGACCGATAGGGGTGCGAGCGAGACGTGGGTGACGAGCTCGAAAGGGGTGCCGGTTTATGCGGAGCGGCATGGAAGCGACTCCACTGGTGCTACTACGGGCGCGAGCGAGACGTGGGTGCCGAGCGCGGCAACCAGTAGGCCCGCGGCACGTGAGACGGTTCCCGCGGAGGTGCGTGTGGGCTCGGTGGTGCTCCTCGGCTCTCTCGCGCAGCCCCGCTCCGTCTCCTTCGACTCTGCACGCTGCGTGTCCGTGCCCGAAGTCGGGGGAGCGACGAACGGGAGCGCGGTAGACGCGTTGGTGTGGTGGGACGTGTTTTCGGAGCGCACTATTTGCAACGCGGTGCAGCTGTTCGCGTCGCCCGACTGCTCGGGTACTGCGGCGGCGAAACACCTATTGGAAGGGTACATGAGGTGAGCAATCGCGCGTTTGTTACTGGGATGTAACCAAGCTCCTTCCCTCCTCCTGCGAGGTGCAGCTGTTCGCGTCGCCCGACTGCTCGGGGGCACCAGTCACTGTTCACGGGTTACATGAGGTGAGTTGTCAGGATTTTTCCTTTTCCCACATGCCACAATCCCCCTAGTGCACCGATTCCCGTCATGCCCCCATGTTCCCCTCCCCACGCCCCAACAACTTCCCCCTCCCCACTCGCCTTCCCATGTCCTCCTCTCCCCCCCCCTGTGCACGTGTGTGAGCAGTGTCATCAAGATGAGCGCATCAGTGAAGTCCATCCGCTGCGTTCTCAGTGAGTGCCCTGCTGCTGCCATGCCATGCATTGCCCTAAACCCTGGACATTGGAATTTCTGCATGCATTCGCCTTTCTCCTGTTTTTGTGATCTATCACCATGCCTGCATGCCGATGCTGCTGCCATGCGTTGGACTTTCTGCTGCGCTTGCCAACAATCGCCATGCGTGCCCTGCTGCTGCCACGCATGCTGCTGCAGTCCTGATTATGAAAGAGCAGTGCTGCGGCAATCCGTGCGCTTTCTGCTGCAATACATGCCGCTTTTTCCCATGCCTCTCACCGCATGCGTCTCACCTCATTCCTTCCCCCTCGCCTCTCCCCTTATGCCTCTCTTCAATGTCATCCAGACAACATCTGCAGCCGTGCCAAGTGCCCTGCACACTCCACGTACATCAGGACCAAGTGCCTCGTGCCTCTGAACTCAACCCATTCCTCTCCCCCCATGCCTCTCCCCCCATCCTCCCATGAATCCAGACAACATCTGTCACCGTGTCAAGTGCCCTGAACACTCCACGTGCATCAAGACAAACGATAGATATGGGGTGGCATGCCAGTGCGCCCAGGGCTACCGTGACGTCTACGGTCAATGCAAGCCTCAGTAGCCTCGCCTCTCACCTGTAAGCCTCCCCAATAGCCTTCTCTCTCGCCTGTAGGGGGGTGGCATGCCAGTGCGCCCAGGGCTACCGTGACCTCTTCGGCCAGTGCCAGCCCCAGTGGCCTCCCCTCCCCTCTGTAAGCCCTCGCTTCCTCTCTGTATCTTCCACACCCTCTATCCTCCTCCTTCCCCCCCCCCTCTCGTCCTGTCCTGTCCTACATTCCTCCCTCCTCTGTCTGCCTCTTCGCCTCTCCCTTCCACCCTGTCCTCCCTCCCTCTCTCTTCACTCCGTTCTGCCTTCTGCCTCTTCCCCCCCTCTCTTTCTCCCCTCTCTCCTCTCCCCCTCTCCCTCCTCATTTTCTGCCACCATGCATCTGTGTGCTAATCGTCCATTCTCTCTTGTCTCTTGCACAGCCCCTCTCCCTCCTCGTCCCCTCCCATTCCCTGTCCCTCTCTCCTCTCTTCCCTTCACCTCTTTCCATCTGTATGCTAATAATTCATTCTCGCCTTGTCTGTTGCATGCAGCCGTTGCTAAATGCAGAACCCTCCAAAACTATATAGCAGAGCTTCTGGATAGCAGAGGCTTTGGATAGCAGAGGCTTTGGATAGCAGAGCTTTGGGGTGCCACTTGGGGAACCAGAGCAGCGGGTACACATCAAAACAGCTCAGGACATGAGTGCCTTATTACACAGACTGTCCTTGTCTTGTGATTGTTTGAGTGATTAAAAGGAGATGTGTTAACAGATTATTTGTGCTGCATTTCTTACGTTTTTCAGATAACATCTATTCCCGGATGTAAGACCCGGGGAGACTTCATTAAAAAATCAATATAAAATGGTAGGGTAAACATCATGGTGGCTGGAAATTACCCCTTAACTACCGTATCACCCCGGATAGAAGCGCAGGCCTATTATAAGTGTGAAAGAATAGGAATAAATGGAAGAAGGATGATTGCACTAGCAAGCAGTTGAGCACATATAGGAAACCCTAGATTGGGCTGTACTCACTATTGAGTACCCCACTGCAGGCTAGACAAATATAACATTTTGACACACCCCCATAGCCAAAGTGGGGTGTAATCAGCACAACAAGAAAAGCAAAACAAGCTCAGGGTGGATCACAATGTCACCACACATTCTGAGCACAAGTACAAGCAGCAGCAGTTTATAGTTCACAAATATAAGCAAAGCTAGAGGCAGTCACAGACGGTAAGTGAGGAGGAGGGACTGTGAGAGGAGAAGAGATAGGAGACGACAGGTGAAGCTGCAGACACACGGGCAACAGGAGCGGCGCGCACTGTGGCTACCGGAGATTGTAGCCTCCGGACTACTGGAGTAACTGGCTCCGCGACTAACTCTGAGCTGCAGGAGCAACGGACCCACGGGCGACTGGCGCAGCAGGCTCGCTGGACTACCGGAGATTGTAGCCTCCGGACTACTGGCGCTGCTGGCGACACGACAGCTGCCTCCGCCCAACATCCTCTAACTGTCTCACCCCCCTTTCACACACCCCCTGCTGCACCTCTAGCATTACTCATACTCCACCCCCTAGCACCACTCCATCGGCTCCCACACCCCCACCCCCCTCAGCGCCAGCTGCAGCAGTGGGAGACAGAGGAGGAGGAGGAGCAGGGGAGTCCACACACATGCCACCCCCTACTCACCACCCCCAAACCCTAACACAGGGCAGGGCGGGATGGCGGGTAGGGAGGTTACGGGGGGGGGGGGGGGGGGGGATTACGGGGGCCGACGCGCGGCCTCCCAGGGCGCCAGAGACGGCGGAAGAAGGGGCGACGCGCGGCCCCCCAGGTCGCCCGCGGCCCCCCTCCAGGTCGCCACGAAAGGCGACGGGAAAGGGGGGGGGGACGGTGCGCAGGCCCCCGGCGCGCCGCGACAGGCATGAGGGGGGTGGGGCCGGGGCAGGGTCGGGGCATGGCCGAGGCAGGGCCGCGACGGGGGGCCGCGACGAGGGGCCGCGACGGGGGGGCCGCGACGTGGGGCCGCGACGGGGGGCCGCGACAGGGGGCCGCGACGGGGGGCCACGACGGGGGGGCCGCGACGGGGGGCCGCGACGGGGGGGGGGGGCGCGACGGGGGGCCGCGACGGTGGGCCGCGACGGGGCCGTTAAAGGGGCCGCGAAGGGCCTTACGAGGGGCCGCGAAGGGCCTTACGAGGGGCCGCGAAGGGCCTTACGAGGGGCCGCGAAGGGCCTTACGAGGGGCCGCGAAGGGCCTTACGAGGGGCCGCGAAGGGCCTTACGAGGGGCCGCGAAGGGCCGTACGAGGGGCCGCGAAGGGCCTTACGAGGGGCCGCGAAGGGCCTTACGAGGGGCCGCGAAGGGCCTTACGAGGGGCCGCGAAGGGCCTTACGAGGGGCAGCGAAGGGCCTTACGAGGGGCCGCGAAGGGCCGTACGAGGGGCCGCGAAGGGCCTTACGAGGGGCCGCGAAGGGCCTTACGAGGGGCCGCGAAGGGCCGTACGAGGGGCCGCGAAGGGCCTTACGAGGGGCCGCGAAGGGCCTTACGAGGGGCCGCGAAGGGCCTTACGAGGGGCCGCGAAGGGCCTTACGAGGGGCCGCAAAGGGCCTTACGAGGGGCCGCTAAGGGCCGTTAAGGGCAGGCGCGACGCGCACCTCGGGCAGGAAATTTTTTTAGTGGTGGGCCAAAAGATCGAACCAGCTCTATACCATGTGAAAGAATAGGAATAAATGGAAGAAGGATGATTGCACTAGCAAGCAGTTGAGTACATATAGGAAACCCTAGATTGGGCTGTACTCACTATTGAGTACCCCACTGCAGGCTAGACAAATATAACATTCTGACAATAAGCGCATGCGCTTCTATCTGGAGCAATGCGCTTATGGCCGATCCTCAATTATAAGCGCACCCCCTGTGAAAACGTTACTTATTATAAGCGCATGTAAAATTTTAAATTAAAAATTCTGTTCGAAACGGTAGCGAAATTCATCTTTGAAGCGAGTACAATCTCACTTTCGCTGAGTTTGACTCTCGAAGACCTGACTGGCTGCGCGTCCAGTCAGGATGTGCTGGCATGACTGCAAATCGTCGCATCTTGGCCCCTGTGTGCTGGAAGAGAATCGCTTGCAGGAGATTCTGCATTGTGATGCGAAATTTTTCGACTCGGTTGAAATGGCAAGAGTGAAACATACAATTTGGTGTCTTCAATTTATAAATTCGTATATGTCATTATATAAGCGCATGCGCTTATAAAAATGACCCGATTAGAAGCGCACCCCCCTAAAAAACTCTACTTAATCATAAGCGTAGGTGCGCTTCTATCCAGGGTAATACGGTATTAGATAACGCTGTACAGTGCTTTACTGTGCCTACTTAAATTACCGTATCAAGGGCAGGCCCTACGATATTTGGAAAATTTCCCTGAAATTCTTGATTTTCAGGGATTTTTTTTGTTGGGCTGAGCAAGCCCTTAGGAACTTTCAGGACTAAGATCGGGTGTTGACGTAGATGTTGGAAACAAGTGATTTATAACGCTTATGTCGTATCGAAGCTTCGACACAAAACGGAACTGACTACAGCGAAGAAATACTCGAGTCAACCAAGGCAACCGTCAGAGGTTGCGTGAAGGTCAAAGGTCTTTGACCTGACCTGACGAAACGTACAGTGCGACAGCAAGGACACATAACTGACTCGTTACAGAGCAGTTACCCGAGTCGGCACTGTATCGAACTGCAACAGCAAAAACAGTTAAAATAAAACTTTAAATATTCCTTTGTAATCATATAAAAGCCTTGTACTTCTCTGCTATTATCAACTTATCTTCTCACACACCAGTACAAGGTGGTTCAAGCAACTCTGATATTACAACGCTTTCGCTGTTACAACTCTACATCAACACCCGATCTTAGTCCTGAAAGTCCTTAAGGGCTTTTCTCAGCCCAACATGGTATGAGAGCAATGTCAAACTTATATGCTATAGTCTGTTTAGGCTGTAGTGGGGTAGTTGTTATAGGGTACAACACTTTTAGGTTTGCTACTTGTACCCACCTGCTTTCTAGTTCAATCATTCATTCGCTCACAATCTAACATGGTATTCTGAGCAGGTTCCCTAGTGGGAACGTTTTTAAGGGCCCACCACTAGATTTTTTTTTTCCTGCCCTGCCCAAAGCGCGCATCGCGCCCTCCCTGTCGCGGCCCCTAGCCCGTCGCGGCCCCCAACAACTGGCGCGCCCCTGCTGACGCACCCCTGCCGGCCCCTGCTGACGCGCCCCTGCTGACGCGCCCCTGCCGGCCCTTGCTAACGCGCCCCTGCTGACGCGCCCCTGCCGGCCCCTGCTGTCGCGCCCCCCTTCTGGCGCGCCCCTGCCGGCCCCTGCTGGCGCGCCCCTGCCGGCCCCTGCTGACGTGCCCCTGCTGGTGCGCCCCTGCCGACCCCTGCTGCCGCGCCCCTGCCGGCCCCTGCTGGCGCGCCCCTGCCGGCCCCTGTTGACGCGCCCCTGCCGGCCCCTGCTGGCACGCCCCTGCCGGCCCCTGCTGACGTGCCCCTGCCGGCCCCTGCTGACGCGCCCCTGCTGGCGCGCCCCTGCCGGCCCCTGCTGATGCGCCCCTCCCGGCCCCTGCTGACGTGCCCCTGCTGGCTCGCCCCTGCCGGCCCCTGCTGACGCGCCCCTGCCGGCCCCTGCTGGCGCGCCCCCCTACTGGCGCGGCCCCTGCAGTCGCGGCCCCCCCCTGACGTCGCCACCCCTGCTGGCGCGGCCCCTTCTGGCGCGGCCCCTGCTGTCATGGCCCGCCCCTGCACCCGTCTCTGGTAAGCCGAGCCGCGCCGCCCAGCTGAGCCGCGCCGCCCAGCCGAGCCGCGCCGCCCAGCCGAGCCGCGCCGCCCTACCGAGCCGCGCCACCCAGCCGAGCCGCGCCGCCCTGCCGAGCCGCACTGCCCCACCTTGCACTGCCTCTACTGCCTCTGCTACTACTGCTGCTACTGCTGCTATTGCTGCTACTGCTGCTACTCTTGCTACTGCTCCTACTGCTGCTATGGCTAGTCCTACCGTTCTCACCTTTGATGCTGAGGGACGTGCAGTTGACTTTGACGTGTGGGTTGACGACCTACAGCTCTTTCTTCAGTGTGATTCTAGGGATGGGGTATCCCTTTTCGATCACACGTCCGGTGTTTCTACTGCTCCTGCTGCCACTGCTGACAGTACGGTTCGCTCGCAGTGGACCACTCGTGACGCTGTTGCTCGTCTTGCTGTTCGTAGTAACCTGCCGCCTGCTGAGCGCGCGCATTTTGGCCAGTACAAGACTGCTCAGTCTTTGTACGACGCTGTAGTCGCACGCTACTCCTCCCCTGCCACTGCTGCCCTCAGCCGCCTCATGCTGCCGTACCTTTTCCCTGACCTTGCCGCCTTTGCC